TGTAAGACTATCAGCAAGTTGAAATATAATGCTTTATGGCATTAGCCATTCCTTGCCAGGATATTAGATAGACTCTCCCGAGCTCTTTTCAGACATTCTTCTACTTGTAATGACTTGGGCACTACTACTCTTTCACCTTTAAATAGAAGTCCCTCCTGAAGTGACATTTGGTCTCTGAAATTAGAATAAGTTATTAGCTCATTCACTAGTAGATGCTTGCCTTCTGGCCAACTTTGATTAATTGTAATTTGAAATTTTTGAAGCGTCCTATCTTTCTCAGTTTCCTCTTTTAGTCTTTCCTCACCAATTAATAGAAAAATGGCCATATTTATAAGTTAAAACTCTCCTTTATTGTTTACTGATGAATTTAAATGCACTCTTGAAAGTGCATCAGCCAGATACATTTCTTTTCCTTGTCTATAAACTACTTTTATAACATAGTCTTGTATACACAATGTCATTCTCTGCAGTCTTCGAGGAGCAGCTGAGAGGGGTTTAGTCATTATTGCTTCAATGGGTTTGTGATCATTCTCAATAGTTGTATGTCGACCAAATATAAATTGGTGGAACTTATCCAAGGCAAATAAAATAGCTAGCATTTCTTTCTCAATCTGTGTGTATCTAGTACCAATCAAAGATTAACTTGCGTAAGCTATGGGTTTACTTTACTGCATTAAGATGGTTGCCAGACCATTTTGAATAGAATCACACTGTACAGTCAATTCTTTAAGCGGATTGTAGAATGCTAGTACAGGAGCTTGAGTCACCATAAATTGTATGTCACAGAATGCACTGTCATATTTTTAAGACCATGACTAAGGGATATTTGTAGCTGCCAAATGGGTTCAATGACATCTGATAGTCTGGGTAGAAATGTCAGTTCACAAAATTTATATTTGCGCTGTTTACTGTTATGAGCAGCATGTTGTTGTAGGATATTTTTGTGAGCAGAAACAGCAATGGCCTCAATCTGAGATAATGATGCATCAGATGTACCTGTCGCTAGTACCTTTAGCTGCTAATCAGCAGCTTCATTTTCTTGCAGATTTCAATATTAGTCTTGAACTTTGATTAAGTTCTTTTTTTAGTTCTTGTGTCTTTGATGCCAACTACCATTCAGTCTGTAATAAGTGACTTTTCGACATGGTCACAAAAATTGCACATTTTAGCAAGTGTGCATAGAGCTAGTAAATAGTCCTTGACAGTCAGGAGTTAAATATAAAAACCGGAATACATATATAAATTTAACACAATGCATCATTCCACTCCACTTCAAATGTTTCTTGCTTTATTAAACGGCTTGTGAAAGACCCTAGTTCTCTGAACAACATGGCTTCTTTTTCAGTTTCTTTTGTTTTTTTATTCCAAAGTATTAAATAAATCTTTGTTTTTTTGTTTTTTTTTAGAAAGCTCTGACTTTGGCTTGGAGCAAGGGAAATAACAAAATCTTTTATTTGTCAGTCTGGTTCTGATGATGTTTGAACTGGTATTGGAACATTGTATCTAAAGCATATCATTTTATTTTTTGCTTTCTGACTTTTTGTTGTCTACATTTTTTATAGGAATTGATTTTATGTGTATCCATTGTGTTGTTTTGTTTATTTCAAATTGTTTCAATGAGGTTCACCATGCACTTTTTTAGATGAAAATTGTACATTTGTACAAAAAGAGGATGTGACTAAATGATAGAACAATTTATGACAGAACTTGTTTCTTATTTATCTAGCTCCAATGAATTCCAATGTAGTTTTAGCATTGCAAAGTCAAGACAAATGATGGAGAGAATAATGGAAGAAAAGAAAGTGCCATGTGAAACCAACGAGTTTAGCATAATATATTATAATACTTCTCAAATACCCATAGAATTTCAGTGCATTTACTAAACATGAAAAATAAAATGCTGTATTATCAATCAGTGATGAATGTTTAACATTTCAATCTGAGATGATTTGAAGCTACTGATACAGTATACCTCTCTCTCTCTTAGGCTTGCATTATGCAGTATCTTGTGGTAGAGTTGGTATTTTATATTAATCAAATATTAGGAAGCTCTTTATTACATACTACCGGTACTTTGAAAATAAAATGACAAAAAACAAACAACAACAACTCTAGTTTAGTTAAGTTAGTATTTCATAAAGCTTGTTTCATCAGGCCCTTGACAAAGGTTTCTTTGTTACTGGGTATTTTGTTTAAAATAAGCCGGGAGTTAAGTTCTTATTCACAAAGTATTTAGAGAAATTTTCTAATGTTATGTTTCCCAAACTTTTTCCTTAATGGAATACTTGTGCATTCTGAGAATTTAGCAGAACACTTTGTTATTTTTTTTTTTAGAGATATTAATTCACATGGTGGCCTACTAATAATTTTTCCAGTAGTTTGTGGAACATCTATTCAGGTCTTGCAGAACACTAGGTTCTAAGGAGATGAATGTGTTTAAATAACACAATTTATTGACATTGTCATTCAGCTGTCATTTTCTTTCATATAAACATCCTTTAAAGCCAGATATTTCCCAGATAGACTGCTGTGATACAATAGTACAGGTTTTTTTTTTTTAATTAAAATTATAAAGAACTATTATTTAGTGAAATAAGCTTGAAACAAAAAGATGTCAAGTGTAGACCCAGATGTGTGAGTGAAAGCAGTATTTTGACATACTCTAATGTGTATAAAAATGTTTTCTTATGAGATCTTCAATGTAATAACAAAGAATCAAAAACTGGACAAAGTTTAAAGTTTCAAATAAATGTGAGAGTTTTAGAATTGGAAAGCTGCTTATTTTGATGGTTAGAATCTTATAATTTATGATTCCAAAAGAGGAAATTAAACCATGCTAACGAGATCAAACATTTTCTTCTTTATTGAAAAATATTTTTTGAAACATTTGTTTTGTATGATTTAACAAAAAAATATTCTTTAAAGGACTTCCCATCTTAAACATTTATCACTAGTGTAAAGGGTTACATTATTAAAAGTTTCTTCTATTGTTTTATTGTTATTAATAAGGAAAATTGGATTTGTAAACTCTAAAGCATTTTATTACAGTTTCCTTATAGATTCTTAGGATGTTTTCATAAAGATCTAGCATTGCTAGTTTATAACCTAACATAGAACTAGAATTCAACTTCATATGTTTTTATTGTTACGTGCAAAATTGTAATAGAGTAAACATTAATTTGGCTTAATTTTTCTTTGTTGTATTTCTTCACTTTGTGAAAACCTTTTGTCTGAATGTGAATTCTGACCCACACTGTAGTCTTTTGTCCCATCTCAATCTCAGTTTTATATCTAAATATCTATCTGTATCTCACATCTCTGCCTGCTGCCTGTCTGGCTCATCTGCTGGGCAAATGCCTCAATTCATCCCCTTTTTTTCCTTGGGTGTTCCAGGTGAAGGCTTGCCTTGTAATGTTTGGTGCAGATTTATAAAGTGTGTGACTTGTACATCTCCAGCGTCTGTGAAGGATATCTACTTCAATTGACAGTGGAAAATTCTATGCATCTTGGTATGAATGTGCTCCTTAACATTAAGATTCGCAGTTCATTGTGCCACCAGTTTTGTTCTGTCTCTTCATTATCTCCTGTGACACTATTATGGTACAGCACAATGAAATCCAAGCTCTTAAATTTAGTTATATATATTTATATGTAGATGTTGAATAGAGAACCTAAATGGACCACTGCCAGACAATCGTTATGTTTGAGCTAGATATGACAAAATATGTGACTTGAATAAAAGCTTTATTAATATAAATAGCTTGCTTTATCTTCAATATTTCTTGATTAAATTCAATTATATTGTGTCAGTATATCTGAAATATTCTTAAGGCATATATTAATTATTCCTGTAATGTTTGTATTATTTATTGTTATATAGTCTTTAACTGTGGTCTGTGATTTATTCAAACCTATAATACTCAGCTTGCATAAATATTAGTGTCACTAGATCCATTTCTAAAATCACCAAGTTAACACAGTGCCAGCTGGACAAGAGGCAGGAATTTTTTCACATATTTAAATGCACCATCACTCATACCTACCTGCAACTTTTCAGGCCTGAGCAAGCTATTATAGCACAGTGCAGGACAGGCCTCTGTCCTGTTGGCTCATATTTCTCGCAGCTATGGCCAAATTTTGATTCACGGTGCCCCCGATGCTGGGAAGAAGAGGAAACCGTGTCTCATATTCTGTTTGACTGCCCCAGACTTGCTGATCTCCGTCTCGACAGGTCTGGGAAACCCAAAATTCTCAACCTGTATGGCAACATTTATGCACTACGCAAGACAGCAGGGTTTCTGTCCAGGGCTTTTGCAAGAGAGGATTTGAGCCTCTCAAGCCCTCACTCTAATGGAGTTTGATGATGAAGATGATGACCTGCAACTTTATAAGGAACTAAATCCAAACAGATGCAGTGAAAGCAAATTTAAAAAAAAATACCTTAGATATTTAAAGTTGTCTGTTTCTAAACTTAGTTTGGGTATTAAGTTTTTGTATTGGAGCACACAAAACACCAGCTGTTAAGCATTAACTGATCTAAAAGTAAAGTTTCCCTTTCAGAACTTGCGATCTGTATGTAAGACGTAATCATCTTCTTTTTTGAAGTAACGTCTGTATTATATAAGATAAGATCTATGGGGCAGATGATGTTAAGGTCATCTGTTTCTATGGCCAATGGTTAACAAGCAGGGTGTGATGTGACCAGCACAATGACCAACAGCCTTCGCTTTACCCATTAGAGTTGGGTGGACTGAGGACTCCATATAAATCCCAAAATTCAAAGTTTTAGTCTTCACAGAGATTCAAACTGATCTAAGGCTTGATAAAATTCATCAGAAAAATATTGGTGAGTCCACTAAAGCATTTCAAAGTAATCCCAGAATACCCAGATAAATTTATAATGTGAATTTTCCTAGAAATCAAACTTGGAAAAAAAATCTTGCTCTTTCACACTTAATTTAAGTATTAAGACAAACAGAGAAATAAATACAGCAACACTGTTTCTAATATTTCATTAGTTAAACATTGTATATGATTTGGGATTACATAGCTTATAATTTTCACATTGTTAAACATACATACATACAAGTTTGGAATAGAAACGCATACAGTTCAAAAGTCAAATGTTGGGAATGTCATTGAATACATACGTGATATGTACACAATGAGACAAACATCACTAACTAAACATTCAAACCAAAAAAAAAACCTAAAATAGGAAAAGACTCAATGTCAAATAAAAAAAAATTCAATCTTGGCAGAAGAACAAAACAATAATATAAAAAAAAGCTATTACAAAGTTGTTTAAAGTAGACAAATGAGCGTAATAAACACAGGAGGTATCTCTTCTACTTTGTTGATTATGCTAGAACAATGCTCAAAACAAGTTTTTCTTTAACAAATTATTTAAGTAAAATATTAAGAGAATTTAAAGTCAATGTGTGTGAGGTATTGAATTACATTGTTAAAGGACTGTGCGTCAGATGTCAAAACTAGTATGAAAAGTTTGATTAAACCAACTTTGGCAAAAGTGGATAGCTGACATAGCATGAAATTACCTAAAGATGAAGATACACTTTCAGTATGGAATGTCATGTCTAACCCAAGGCATCATTGAATATGTTGTTCTTTGTATTTAAATGATCCTATAAAATTCTATGGCCCTTGATTATCACATTTTTTCTCAATATTAAATGTATTCTTTTGAGATTGATATAAATATTGTTTGATTACAACCAATACCTAAACAAGGGGCAATCAGGAGAGTTAATGTCACTGAGTATAAACACATAAAAGTTACATGCATATAATAAATGTATAATATATTTATGAATACATCAATCACTGTATATGTTGCTTCTTGTAGCATAATACCACTTGCAAATGGTATGAATTTATAATGTTATCTGTATCCAGTAGTCATGAAGCAAATCAAAACTTTATAATTTTGAATGTAGAAGTTGTCAATATAAAATTTGTTAGCTAAAAAACTAACTACTTTGCTCCAGAAATTGTATCTTGAAACAAGATGTGAATGTGACCAAAAGTAAAAGCTGATTTCATTTTCAGTCTTCATACAATTGTTTTTACACATTAGTTTTTTTACTTGCAACTTAATGTTAAAGACTTTTGTATATCTTATCTTATCTTATATAATACAGACGTTACTTCAAAAAAGAAGATGATTACGTCCTAAGCGTCATGCATTTAGTCATGCATATTAACCAATGACTTAAATTCTGCCAAGTCACTGGTTTTTCTGGCTAGCTCAGGCAACCCATTCCATGCTCTAATAGCACTAGGGAAGAAGGAGTATTTTTACAAATTTGTCCTAGCATAGGGGACAAGGAATGTGCCTTTATTTTTGTGTCTTATTAAGTTTTGTTTTTGTATTTGAAGATTATGGTTCAGTGTTTTATGTATAATTGCTACTTTACTTTTGAGTCTTCTGTCCTGAAGGCTTTCTAAATTTAGTGATTTTACTAATGGTGTTACTCTAGTCAAATGTGAATATTTGTTTGTTATGAATCTCACTGCTCTATTTTGTGTTTGTTTCAGTTTCTTAATGTTTTCTTGAGTTGAGGGGTCCCAAACGGTGGATGCATATTCTATTATTGGCCTAACCAAGGTTAAATATCATTTTAGTTTTATGTTCTTATTTGATTTATAGAATTCAAATTTGTAAGTTGTCCTTGTGTCTTACTAGCTAACTCACTTTAATTCATTATAGAAACCATCTCCAAATAATTCTTCTTTCATATAACTGTTACACAGAAAAAAAATTATAATAAATTTTAAATATTTTTAAATGAAAGTATTATTCAGGCATACTAATAAGCTTGTTCTCTCATGTATAAAAAAAAAAAATTCATATCTCATGAAACTATTCACTTTAGTCATCATTTGAACAGGTATAACTGTTTGAGCTAAATTGATGCAATAAGTTCCCAAATAACCTTTGATGAACATTTAAAATGAACAACTTGCATGAAATGTTTCAATGAAATGACTTTGAGAAACAAACACAACATGGCACTTAGACTCTTTCAAGTTCAGAATTGTTACCATGGAAACAAAAAAAAAAAAAAAAGAACTATACAATAGGATCAAAACCTAAACTAAGTTTTCATCACAAAATAAACAATGATTTAGCATGCTAAGCTGTTGTAAATTTAGGTATATTTTAACATTAAGCAATTCAGTCATAAAATGACAGCGAATGTTGTCAAACCCAAATTTAAAAACATTTCATACATTTTTGTACTAGGATGACAGATGTACATTTAGAGCATTTCATAAACATGAACCATCCACTTATGTGAAAAGTGTAATTAACTTCACTTAGACCCATGCTTGTTACTTATGATGGGCCATTTCATTTTAGAAAACATAAAGACAGATGTTTGTTCCACTACATACAAATGTTTAGACAGTGATAAAAATATAAAAGAGTGTTTCATTTCTTTTCTTGACTAAACTTCAATCCAAACTGAAAGGAAACAGAATAATTCAAAAACACACGTTTAAAGATTCCCATTAATCACAACTTAACAGTGCAAAGATATTTTTCACAACATAATCATGGAATCTGAAAGAAGAAGGAACATCACATGACCCCCATCACATGATTAAGACATCAACACAACAAAAGTCCCATCACATTACCAAGATTTCATCACAAAATCAAAACAACATGATCACATGACCAAAACACATTATTTCTTCCAGGGCTCAAACTGAACAAAAGATGTATGTCTTGCTTTAAATATCTTCTTGAATTAAATTACACTCATTAACAAAGGAGTATACGTCTATGGGTGTTACAGAAAAGTTAAAAGTCACAGTGGAACCAGCTATATACATGGCTCTGTCCTGGAGGCACAATCAAACATCAAAGTTTTAATCAATCTATTAATCAAAATAAAACATATAGAAAATATTTTTAATAAAAAAAAAATTTACATATAAGTCAAGATTAAGTGACTTATAGAAATACACTTGACCTATGTAAAACAGACATGTTTATCAAGCTGGTAATAAGGTTGTAGTTGTTGTTCAGTATCTATTAAGCTTGTTCAGCTATTCATGCTAGATGTAAAAAGATCGACAACATGAAGCATAAGCCTATAAACTAGTCATGGCTCAAATGATGTGTCATAAACAATGATGTAACCTATTTTACTATTTTGCTTGAGTAGTGCCATAAAAAAACATACTGTAAGTCTGGTCACATCTTGGCAATGCTGTGACATAGAAACATACTCTATATACATTATATTTAGCAATAGCAACACAGTTTCAAAGTAAATTTGTAAATTGATGAATGGTCAGCAACACTACTTCATCAACTGTCCTGTAGTAATGCTATACATTTTTTTTTAGATTAGTCTTTCAGACAAAAGTACAAAATGGAATGTTACTATTTAAAGACCATAGTCAGACATAATTGCAGGGGGAGAGATATTGGAATGACAAAGCTGTTTCTGATCCATCAAACAATTGTTGCCGAAGATTTCTACCACTTGAATCCAATGTATAAATAACATGCAGACACACAAATGGCACTCATCTATTTGCTTACATCATTCTAAACTAAAACATAAATGTTTTTCAGTAACACAGAATCTCAGTAAAAGTGTTTGTTTCTATTTACACCAATATCTATTAAAGCCCAACAATGGAATCATATATTTTACTGATGCACAAATGAGTATGAGTTAAATTTGATATGTACTTTGCTTTCTAATGATTTTTTAAAGAACTTCAACGCAAAAAAAAACAAAAAAACATTAGTTTAACATCTTACTCCCCTTCCCAATGAAAGAAAAAAATGTTTCAAGGTTGCAAGCAATTATTGGATTTATGCTACTACTTCAATTTACATATTAACATAACTTTTATTTTTTTCTCAGGCAATTTTAGAGCTTGGTATAGGACAGATTTGTCAAGCTCAAGATTTAAGAAAGCAAAGTCTTAAGGTAGCTCACTCTGAGGTTTTACTGTAATAATGGTTGTTAACTTGGTTTCAAAAACATTTTTGGCAGTTTAATAAATAATTAGTAATACTTTTTTTTAGAGCACTCATTTAAAAAAAAACATACATGCTCACAATTATATGGGTGTGATAATGTCAGATTCTACATTTGGGACCTATCAAATGTCAGTTTATTCCAAACATTTGACAGTGTTCCAGAAAACCTCTAATATTTGAACCTCTTCCCTAATAACACCACCACTTTTACTGGCACAATAAATCCCCAAATATTTAGATCTTTACAGTCTGTAGTTGAAAGTCTAAAAACTACTTAGGAGTAACTAATTATGATAAATAATATCAGACACAGTCATATATTTACCACAAATATACTGAAATTCACATATGTACTAAAACTAACATAGTAGCCATCTCTTTACTAGTACAATAAAAAAAAAAACATATATATAGCCAACCTTATTTCTCTCTCCCAATATTGCTAATCACACTAAGCATCAACACTTGACTATATAGGCCTATATTTAGCAAAATTTAAGTTCTAGTTTCAAGTAACACAAGTTTTAACAGAAGAAAGAAAAATTTTGGTCTTAACATTGAAAACAAAACAAAAATTCATACCACTTTATCATGGGGGTTGTTTCTAATCACTTTGTTTTATATTTGAATACAATTTTGAATATTAATAAAAATGTTATTCAAAAGCCAGAAAACTCAAAATTGAAATTGATTGAACTTAGTGTAAAAAAAAAAAAGTTTCTGTAAAGCTGCATCTAAGAATCCATCATAATACATTGAAACCATGCTGCAAAATATCAACAATGTTCCCCAAACACTATCCTTCACTGACCATTAGTTATCTACTCCAGCTCGACATTAGGTACAGAAGACAATAGTGGAACTCTGGCTCAGTCTGTCACTGACAAGATGGAGTTGGTGGTTGTTGACTGTCACTTCATTTATGCAGCCGACAAAGTTTTTCATGGTTGGAAGCTCCCAGGCCAGGGAGTCTCGTCCACCAATCCAGAGAATGCCATCTGTATCCAGTTGCTGGGAGCTTATGGGGAAAGTATCTCTGACAGGCTCTTCATTATCTACTTGCACTGTTGCGATTCTATGTTGTCTGTTGATACAAAATAAATTTTTTAATGAAATAATTAAATAGTTCATTAAAAAATTTTTATAGAAAAAAAAAAAAAAAAAACACCAAGTGGGATGTGTGGCAGAGAGTTGTGTTTTCTAAAGGCAAAACAGAAATTTTTTTCTTAGAAACCCTACACTAGTGCACTAATATTGTTAAAACATTAAATGTGCGATCCCAAAAAAAAATAATAAAATCAGTGGCAACACATCAGTTTGAAAAGGCAAGGTCAGAAGTTTTAAAGAGAGATGTTGAGCTTTCTTTTTTTCTTGCTTGAAAAGGGAGAGGGGGTTTGAGGGGGGGGGGGGGAATAAATAAAAAGTAAGAAAAAGATTTTCTGCATAATATTTAACCCTTTTTTCCTAAATAATTTGTTTTTGTTCTTGATTCTGATGTCAAAACTGAGGATTATTACATCCTATCCTATACCAGCAGGTTCTGAACTAGGGGAAGACAGTCCAAAGCTAGTACTGTACCATATGACCAGGCAGCCAATATGATAATTAATTTTATTCTTTTAATATTAATTTAATTTTACAATGCAGTTGTCATCATTTCCTCTAAATTGTCCAAAATATCCAAGTTCTTTCATTTCTAAAACCAAACCTTTGAAATTTTGGAATTAAAAAAATATTAACACATCATGTTATTTATGTACATAAATTGTATTTTTAATGTAGAGCCATTGCAAAATACAAATATTTTTTATTGATCGCAGCATTCTAATTTTATTGTCATGGTATCTATGTGGCCGTCACGGGAACTTAGAACTTTTA